GCTCTTCCTTCTTGCCCAAGCTCCTCCCGCTGCGCGCCTGTCTCAGCCTCACGTGGGCCTGGCCTTTATGCCACCAGGATGAGGGGCCCGGTGTCACCATCCGTGGAGAGGCACTTGTGGGGTGTGGGGAGCTCTCCACTGCCACTTCAAGGGGTCCTCGGGCTCAGGTAGGCCGCCCTGTCTCCACCGCGGAGTGGACACTCTGAGAGCACCCACACGGGGACCCCGATGGCCCAGCAGGGAGGGCTGCCGCTGCCCTGTCACTAAGCCCTCGTCAGTGACCAGCGCAGGCCAGCACTGCTCTGGGACGAGCTCGAGGCTCTGGACCCCGAGGCTCCCGGTGTCGTGTGAAAAAGGCCAAGGGGCAAGTGTGCCGGGACGGAGAGGTCGGTCCGACTGAACGAGGGGCCCGGGAAGGCCGGGCAGACGCCAGGGCCGCGTGCCGCGCGGGACGCATGCCCCGGCTGAGCCGGCTCCGTGGGGGTGGCCTCGCTCACTCACGCTGTGGGGGCATTCGGGATCCCGTGACTTCCCACCGGCCCAGGAGCCCCACTGAGAAGCGGGCATTCGGGGCGCGGCCCCGGCCCGAGTCGAGGCACAGCCGAGGAGCGTACTTATGGTTTTCTCGGCGTTCATCCACAGGCGGGTCAGGTTGTCGCAGAGGAAGGAGAGTTTGTGCTTGGAGCCCGGCGCGAGGGTGAGGTTGGCACTGCAGGTCCGCGACTCCAGGCACACGAAGCAGCCGGGGACGAACACGCGGCTCTGCCTGGTGGGCCGCGGCTCGATGGTGACCCACATGGCCCGCTCGTTACTCAGGTCAACCACGTAGGTCTTACCTGAACCACAGGAGACGGGGAGTAAGGCCAAGGGCAGCCGGGGGTGGCAGAGGGGGCAGGGAGCCTCCACGGAGGAGGGCATGGGGCATCGTGGCTGGGGGTGCTGGGGGGTGCTGGTCCTTAAAGCAGCGCTACAATAATGTTTCCTTTTTCTCTTTTAAGATATTTTGCTACAGGCATGTGTGCTCACCAGAGAGAGAGACAGAGACAAAGAGAGAGAGAGAGGGAAACAGAAATCACCACCTGGGGGGATGGTCACGCCCCAATCCCTTTTCCTCCATTCTTCTCAGGATTTTACGCACACACGCACATATACCCAGAGTAAGTTTTAAGCCTCCGGGTCCAGGACTTGAACCACGGTCAGCCACATGAGAGTCCAGCATCCTAACCACTATGCCACCTGCTGGTCCCAATGTCACAATAATTTAAAAAGAAAGTTTAAAGAAAAAACAATGAGCCCAGCCAGAAGAGCAGTGGCAGCATGGCTCAGTGATGCTGGAAGCCACCGGAAGCCAGGGTTTGGGTCCCAGGTTGAACTGAGGGGGATGGCTGGGGAGTGTGGTGTGAGCGAGACCCTATTGAGGGTGTTGTCTCTCCCTCTTGCTAAATAAACTTAAAAAACAAAACTCATGGGGAACCAGCAGTTAGTGTAACGGCTATGTCACTGGACTCCCACGTAGTCAACCGCGGTTCACGTCCTGGACCCGGTGGCTAAAAACTCACGCCGGGCGCGTGTGCATGCGTGCCCAAGATCCCGAGAGGAGAATGGAGGAGAAGGGATTGCGGTGTGACCATCCCCCCTGGGGGGTGATTTCTCGCTTTCTGTCTCTATGTCTCTGTCTGTCTGTCTGGCGAGCGCACGTGCCTATAACAAAAAACCTCTCCAAAAAATAAACAAATAAATAAATAAATAAATATAAAAAACCTCATGGAATTGGGGCCAGCAGACGGTACAGTGGCTAAGGCACTGGACTCCCACATAGCCACCTGTGGTTTCGGTCCTGGACCTGGAGTCTTAAAAATCATGCCAGGCATATGTGCAAGTGTGCCCCAAATCCCAGGAGGAGTAGGGATTGCGGTGAGGCTGTCTCCCCGGGGGTGGTTTCTTACTCTCCCTCTCCCTCCTTCTCTCTCTGGTGCACGCATGTGGCCTATGGCGATAAACATCTAAATAATAATACTAATACTAATAAACACATGACTATGTCACCCCAGGGAAGGGGCTGGAGTGGGGTTTTAGCCTCATCTGTTATATCTGAAGTTTAACAAGGACAACTCGGTGTTTAGTATCGTTTGGAGCGACCGCCTGAGCACTGGTCCTGCGGGTGATATTGAAGCTCTTGTCTTTAAGAGCTAAAACTCTAGTAACCACAGGCGCCTGCTCATCTCTGTCCTCATGATAACGTCTCAGAACTGTGATCATCAGGTGGAAGAGCAGGGGTCGTTTTCAACCTTTTAAAATAGATTATTGGATTGCTTTATTTTATTTTAAACTGCCAGATGGTGTGTGTATGTACCAGAGAGAGAAAGCACCTCTCAGTGGGGTGTGGCGATGTACAATCCTTATCATTTTGTTTCTCCATCCCACCAGGATTGGGGAACACACACACATGCATGCACAAACACGCACACATATACACACACACACAGGCACCCTGCATGTTTTCAAGCCACTGGGGCTGGGATTCGAACCATGGCCGGCCATGTGAGACCCAGCCCTCTATACAGTGCATTCAACCACTGTACCACAGGGCCAGCTGCAGACTGTGCTCCGAGAGTCATTTCACTCCACATCGTCTCCGGGAGGCTCTGCCAGCCAACCCCTGGAGAGTGGTTTTCACTCAGTCCCTTTTTGAAAAACCATGTACCAGCGGGCAGGCTGGGCACCGTCTCGGGTGTGTCTGTTACCAAGGCGCATTGAACTACGACAGGGTCAATACCCGGGCCTGAGAAGGTGACGGCTCCCGAACAATGGCAGCGTGGCTTCGCGCAGTGCCCGGACAGCTCGGGCCAGGCGCTCGGTGGTGAGCCTGTCTCGCTGCCTAGCAACCTGCACCTGGGAACTCAGCCAGGGTCCAGAGTCCTTGTGTACACAGAGAGGGGCAGGAAAGGCGCCTGCTGGGAACCAAGAGGGCGCTGGAGGAGGGGAAGGAGGGGCCGCACTTACTGCTTTCATTCTGCGGACGCTGGACCAGGACTTGGAACTGCAGCCGGAGGATCCCGGGGTTCTGGGCGTCCTGATCGCACCCCTGCAGGGAGAGGTTGAAGTTCCCCGCCATGTTCCCGGGCTGCTGGTCCTCCAGCCTGAACACCTCGGGGTTGGTGGTGGAGCCCGGGATGTAGTATTCCACCCGCTGCTCCTTCTTCTCGCAGTTGGACACGTTGAAGCGGAGGAAGGACACGCTGGCCCGCAGGTGCGGGGGGATGACGAACTGCCAGCTCATGAGCTCGTCCTCAGGGAAGCCTTCCGGGTAGTTGGCAGACATCAGGGTCGCTGAGCCTTCGTCCTCAAACACGGACTCAATGATACACAGGCCTGTGGGCGGGGCCGGCACAGGGAGAACAGGAAGTGGTTAGGCCCTGCCGGGGTCCCGGGATGGTGGTCCTCAGGTCCTGGGCATGGGTCTGGATACGGCGCGCTTACACTCAGGGAGGGTCGGAATGGCCCAGGTGGGAGGTGTGCAAGTAATGCCTAGCAACGGCCAGTGGGGGCGCCCTCGTGTGCAGTCTGCCCACGCCTGTGGTGTAAAGACTGCTACCCTGACTGGTTTCAAGCCATCCACACGAGGTGCTATCCGTGGAGCGGGCTGCAGCACGCACACGGACTGTTCCCGCCTGGAGTAACAGCAGCCGTAAGGACCAGCAGACGGCGTAATGATTACACTGCTGGACTCCCATGTAGCTGACTGTGGTTTGAGTCCCAGACCCAGTGACTTAAAACCCGCACCAGTGGCACGTGTGTGCCCAAAATCCCCAGAGGAGAATGGAAGAGAAGGGAATCATGGCGTGGCCATCTCCCCTGGGTGGTGATCGCTCACTTTCTGTCTCTGTGTCTCTGGGGCGAGCACATGCACCCTGTAATAAAAAGGTCTCTTCAAAAAGAGAGAAAGAAACAACGACCATGAGGGCCTCAGGTGGACGGGGAAGAGAGCGTGGGGACATCAGGGGCAGGTGGTGACAGGACCCGCGTGGGAAAGGGTCTGAGCTTGCGTCCTGGGACTTCTCTGAGCACGCCAGGTGCCTGTGTGACCAGGGTCCCAGGGGTTGAGGCTGGGGTAGGCCACGGCATGAGGATCTTGTCGGGGTGCCCCCACTCAGGAAGAAATAAGAACCTTTATTTAAAAGAAAAAAAGGAGCCTAGTCATTAGGAAGTGAAAAGTTTTGAATATTAACTTTGTTTCTTCCTAAAATATTGATAATTTCATCGTAAGTTTATTTAGTTTTACTTGTAGTCACGACTCACAAAATTCAGGAGCATTTAACCACCTGCTCTCCTGAGCCAGAGTGAGCCAGCCGGGCCCGGCGCTGAGCCAGGGGCCAGCGTGAGTGAGCGGGAAGGCGGGCAACGAGGTGGGTTTGCGGAGCCTCGCACGGCGCTTTCCAGAACAGGTCGTGTGCGCGATGGACCGAGAGAAGACAGCAGCCCCCGTCACTTAGAGCAAAGGGGCTCACTGGGAATGAGGGTCCTTCCCGCGAGGTGTTAGGTCGAGCCCCACGACAGCTGACGCCCTGAGTCTGCCCATGGTGACTGTGTGTTTCAGCCTAACCAGAGGGTGGGGGTGCGGGGGTGCGGGGAGCAGCTCACGTTTGATAGAGGAGCGGTTGGCGATGCTGAAACCGGAGACGTTTCTGCTGTGGAACCACGGGAGATGCATGGCCACCTTCACGCCCCCCTGCACCTTGATGCGGGCCACGGTGCCGTTGCTGCAGAAGGTCCCGATCCTGACCGCGCTGGCATCGATGCGGCCGCTGATGGAGTGGGTGACTCCGTCCGGGCAGCTCTCGCCCGGCCCGATCTGCCTCAGGCGGGGAGCCGAGAAGCGCAGCTCCAGGCCGATGTTCTTATGGGCCTGGACGTCCCAGACGAAAGTCCTGTTGAGGGCGGGCAGCACCGAGGGCTGAAGCTGGACCTCCCCGAAAGGACACGGGCCTGACATGCAGTCTGAAAAACATCACGGAGGCCATGTGACCACGTGACCAGGCCACGCGCCGGTCTCCCTCAGCCCCACGGACGACCTCGGGGCACACCGGTCACCCAGCTGCTGAGTCTTGGGGCTGGCGGCTCACAGACGGAAGTGCTTAGCTGGGTGGGGTGCCCCCAGGGCCAGAAAAGCCTGAAAGGTTTTCCTGCTGCTCAGTCCCATCCCGGGGGAGAGGTGGCCGAGAGCCAATACCTGCCTGACGCAGGAGTGAAAGCCCGGCCTCCTCACTGCAGCCTACGGAACCTGGGGATGCCACCCACACTCCAGGGCTCCCCGGCACCTGGCAGGGCTCCAGGGCTCCTGGCAGGGCTCCAGGGCTCCCAGCAGGGTTCCAGGGCTCCCGGCAGGGCTCCCATGGAGGCCAGACTTCAGCCCCACCCACGCCTCTGCCCTCCCACTCCTCGCCCCTTCAGAGGTGCCCTCTGAGGTCACTGCCTCACAGTCTCTCCTACAGGGTGCCAGGTCAGACCTGCTAACTAGTACGTTTCCAGATTCGGTGAAAGGCAAAGAAGAGAGCTTACTGTGATGCAAACAGAACAAAACAACAACAATTCATGCATAATTTTTCTTCTATAATATACATTCCCAAAGAACTTTTTGAAGATACTCTCATACGCCAGGGCCACCTGAGGGATTCTGACTTCATTCCACACCAAGCACTAGAGTCAAGAAACCCCATCCCCTAGCCCCAGCTGTCACCAGTCATGTGAGACGGGGAGAGGCAGGTTGTGACAGAGATTTTCCGGACCAGCCCGTGGCATGGTGGTTGAGGTGGACCCACACGGCCAACTGCACAGTTCGACTCCTGGACCTGGTCGGGGGGCCTGCGTGTGCTTGCCCAGACCCTGGAGGGACGGGGAAAGGGAGGAGAAGGAACTGCCAGGCAACCCTCCCCGACAGTGGCGGGGCAGGGGTAATACCACGCTCTGCAAGTGTGAGGGCCCTGTCGCGAGGGCCTGGCTCTCTGTCTCTTTCTGTCTCTTTGTCTCTCCCAGTGCGGGGCCAGCTGGTGGTGTGGTGGTTAAGGCACTGGATCCCACATGGCTGCATGTGTGGTCTGAGCCTTGAACCTGGCAGTCTGGCTAACACTCTGGGCACATGTGCAGGCATGCCCAGAATCCCGAGAGGAGAGGAAAGTGGAGGGGACAGTGGCACAGCCATCCCCTCTGGGGGTGATGTCTCACTTCCCCCCCTCTCTCTCTGGCACATACCCTATAGCAAAAACTAAGAAAAAAAAATTTTAAGAGCAATTTTTGTTACAGGGCACATGTGTTCCTGGAGAGACAGAGAGAGACAGAAAGCGGGAAATCACCCTAGCAGAGGTGGCCACGCCACAATTCTCCTCTTGGGATCGCGGGCACGCACGCACACGTGCCTGGCATGAATTTTAAGCTGCTGGATCTGGGGCTCGAACTGCAGTCAACTACATGGGAGCCCAGCAAATAACCCTCATGCCATCTGCTGGTCCCCCAAAAGGAATTTTTCAATAAAAATAAAGAGTGCTCTCACCGTTACTACACCTATTAACTTCTGCTTGGCATGCCGCCTTAAAACGATTGGGAAATTAGAAGCGTAATTTTTTTCCTGCCTGATCATTATTTCGGATGTGGCTCTCCTGTCCTGAGCGGATAATGACCAGCTATTGAATCCCTGCGTGTAGTACTTCATCAGCCTATTACGCCACCTCCGTCCCCAGAACAACACTGCTGGGTGACACGATTACCCTTACACACTGGGTGACTAAGGCACAAAGCAGTTGGGCAACTCACGAAGTCACATGACCAGGTCACATGATCAGCAGCCCTAAAGCTTAAAGCCAAACCCAGCCCCCTCGCTCTCGAGCTGCAGTCGGTGCCTCCTGGAACCATGCCCCGCTCTTGTCTCCTGGGCCTTCCGATCCTTTGTCTCCAGACTCCCGAGACCTTTCTCCACACCTGTCAGATGTTTTAGGCACCCGGAAGGTCCACAGCACATGCGCCTCTGGTGCCTGTTACAAGCTGGCTGGGTGGTCTAACGGTTAGGGCAAAGACTCCCACTAAGAGCCTGCAGCTACCTGGGCTCCCCTCGTGGGACTCCCTGGCTGTGCACCTGCGCAAGTTCCTGTCCTTGGGAGCTTCTCATGGGGCCATTTCGAAGATGAAATAAATTAAGCCACAGGAGGTACTTTAAAACTGCGACCAGCCACACAGGAGCTAAGGAGAGGGCAGGGTTCGAATAGACCTGGGACCAGCAGTTAGCATAATGGCTATGTCGCTGGATTCCCACGTAGTCAAACGCAGTTCGAGTCCCGGACCCAGTGGCTTAAACTCATGCTGGGGACGTGCGTGTGTGTGCCCAAGATCCCGAGAGGAGAATGGAGGAGAAGGGATTGTGGCGTGGCCACCTCCCCTGGGGGGTGATTTCTCGTTTTCTGTCTCTCTGTCTCTCTCTTTCTGGTGAGTGCACCTTACCTCTGCAGCAGGGATTGGCTTAGGCTGGGAAAGCGCAGCAGGGAGGTGCAGAGACTAGAGACTTTTGTTTCTAACTGCCAGAGGGCAAGGGTGCTCCCCAGGGGGAGGAGGAGAAAGCCCCACCTACGGGGTGGGCATGCTGCAACCCCCTCCCCATTCTCCATTCGGCAGGATTTTGGAAACACATGCGCCAGCATTTTTTTCAAGCTACCGGGGCTGGGGTTCGCATATGGGATCCGGCTCCCCTAACCTCTAGGCTATGGGGCTGGCCTGGTGCAGAAGGATTTCAAAGCAGTTATCCACCCTCTGCCCAGTCGCACTCACCGATATTCCTCTGGATCTCCATGACAAAGGAATGTTCTGGGTGGTGGCAGCTGAAGGTAAAGTCTGTCTTTTCCCCGGATTTGATGGTCAGCATGGTTACGAATCTTTTGGCGACGACAATGTGGCAGGGCTTCCCGGGCGGAGTCGCGGCCCCCAGCTTTATGTGAACAGCTATGCCGCTTCCCTGTGGCACTGCAATCTTCGAAGCTTCTGGAAAGAAGGAACGTGACGTGAGCAGGATGGCTTAGGCCTGCAGAGCTGTGGAGGCCCCGACGCCTCTGTCCCCCCGCTCCCGGCCTGAGGAGGGGATGGTATGAGATGGCGGTGCGGACGCCCCCAGCGGGGCACTGTACCATATCCGGGCCTCCCCGAGCAGCGTGCTTGCAGACGGCCGTTTGTGAGTATTAGAGGTCAGTGCTGTGCCCTCTCTCACCGTGAAGGGGGCCAAGCCCACGCACAGAGACACGCGTCTGCCCAAGAGCACACCCGCCAGCATGTGCACACTCACGCACGCGCTCGTGGGTAGCGGGGCTGGGAAACGCCAGCGGGAATTGGGCACACACACTGTGGACGAGCTCGGAAGGTCAGAGCGCAGCCACGCTGGGGGAGGTGGAGGCTCAGTCACCGAGCAGGGGCACGGGATGGGGGCTCAGGGGGCGAGCTCAGCACTCCCCACTTGCCGTGCCTCATTGGTGTTAAGTGCTGTTAGGCCGGAAATAGAGCCCCTGTCTCCTCAGTAGCCACCTGCCCTCTGTGCCCACCACTGCCCTGAGCACACTGGTCTTTAGGCCAGGATGATTCGATCTTATATACCTGTTCCCCCCCGCCCCCCACCCTGCACCAGGACTCCCTCCAGGTAGCTCCCCTGCCCTAACAGGAGCTGTGGGGTCTCGAACCCTGGAGCCCCAGGACTCCCTCCCGAGTGTGTCCCACTGTCCACTCTCGGACCAGGTTCCAGGCCATGGGGATGCGGTGTTGGCTCACTGACCGACCCCTGTTTCTGAGCTGCCCCGATGTTGAACTTTCAGTCAGTCCTCGACGGGACGGCCCACTCTGCCTTTCAGTCTCGGAGCACGGTTGGGCATCCCTGCCCTGGCCTGGCCCGGATGGGTCCTGGTTAGGGGTTCCCAGGCAGCTGGTGTCTGGGAGCAGGTGGGTACCCTGGGGGGTCAAGGGGCTCACAGACTCTGAAGCTGGTGCCTGTCGCACCTGCCCTGGCTCCTGTCCGTGAAGGTGCATGGCCAGGAGTGGGCAAATGGCATCTAACCGCAGGCTTCTCTTTGCTTCCTAGCAGTGCCTTGTCTTCCTTTGTAAACCCCCCTTTTCTTTAATTGCCAGAGGGCGTGTGTGTGTGCTTGCCCGAGACAGAGGCAGAGAGAGGGAGAGGGAGAGGGAGAGGGAGAAAGCACCTCCTGATAGGGCCTGGTCACACCCCAATCCCTTCTCCTCCATTTCTCCTTCCCACTGGGATTCTGGACAGAAGAGCATGTGTGTTTTTCAAGTCACCATGACCAGGATTTGAGCCAAGGCCAGCCATATGGGGTTAGGCTCCCCTAATTTCTAGTGCACAGGACTAGACTTCAAAATTTATTTTTTTAAGAATTATTTATTTAATTGTATTTATTAGTTCTTAATTTGACTAGAGAAACAGAGAGAGGTGAGAAAGCAAGCTGCTAGGTCCAGGACTCGAACCACGGTCAGCCATGTGGGAGTCCAGTGCCCTAACCACCATGCCCCCTGCCAGCTCCCCAAATTTAGTTGTTTTTTTTCTATAGGGGTGTGCACTCATGGAGGGGGAAGGGGAAGAATGACACCATCGTGTTTGTCTCTGTGGGAGTCCAGCGCCTTAACCACCACACCACCTGCCAAACCCCTTAAAATTTATTTTTTTAAGAGAAGATAAAGGGGTTGGCAGGTGGTGTGGTGGTTAAGGTGCTAGACTCCCACAAGGCGGACAGCAGTTAGAGTCCTGAACCTGGAGACATGCTTTCTTACTTCCCCCCTCTCTAGTGAGTGCATGTTCCATAAAGCAAAGTAAACAACAACAATAATACATAAAAATAAATCTTAAAAAAAAAATGTTTCAAGCCCCATAACCCTATGACAGGACCTGGGAATCAATTTTAGAAATGCTGTACTTGGTCTATGGTGTGAGGCAGGGATTAGTTTGATTTGTTTTCCCATATGAAGAGTCCATCAACTGTCCCAACTCTTAACATTGATTGTAGCAGTGCTGCCCATGAATTACCAACACTACTTGTTTTTTTTTTTTTTGGTTTGGGTCTATAAATCCTAGATTTTCATGCAAATTCATTTTGCAAACAAGAAAGCGGAAACCTCATGAGGGTCAAAAGACTCCTTCGTGATGTGCTTGCCCTGTTTCTCCTCTCCACTCGGACTGGGAGACGACCACGCCAGCATGTTCTCGAGCACAGCCGCCCTGTGGAACTATCGAGAGAACTGGGCCTAACTACAGCCCAGGGCAGCACCGAGCGGAAGGCCCTCCCCCACCTCGGCGGCAGGGCGGGGTGATTTCCACAGTATTGCTGTTGTTTCTTGGGTCACCGCCGAGGACGAGGACGCGTCACACACAGGACTGCCATTGTGAGCTTCCCTTCTCGTCCTGAATGACAGCTAAGTCAGAGGGAGGGGGCGAGCGGGAGGGAGATGATGACTGAGCCCTGGAACGGGACTCTCCCCGACCCCTCTAACGTCACCACTGTGGAGGTGCCCTTTCCCCTCAGAGTGGCGGAGACCCCACTGCTTGGGCAAAATGCACATCAGCTCACTGACCACACCCACCGGGTGTCGGAGAGCCTCGGTCTGGGTCTGCCTGCACATTCCCCTCTTCCCTACGGAGTGAAACCTCGCCTGCACCCACCCGGTTGGGCCTGGCACATCTGAACCTCATGACCTCCTGTAATTTACAGGAAAGGATGAGCGGTTGGGTCTTTAACATCTCCTCCTTCCTCCTCCCAGGAGTTCAGTGTCTCGTTGGTCTAATGTTAACCGCTCAGAAGATCCGTTACCCAGGTTCAAGGGACCCTGTCCACACTCCAGCTGTGACTTCGAGGTCTGGTGGGCTGAAAGAAATCCCAGCAGGCCGCCCAGGCAGCAGTGGGCTCCCAGGCTGGGGCCTTCTGTGGGGCACCCACTGGGGCTCCTGAGTCCCCCTCAGCTGCCTGGATGTCTCCTTACTGGGATATCTCTGTAGTTCCCGCCTCGCCAGCGGGAATTTCCGATCGCTTTAATCATCATCCATTAATCACCGCGTCACAGGGGCCTGTTTCCGGTAACGCTCGGTGACAGCCAGGACGGGTTCCGCTGAACAGCAGACGAGTAGTTTTCGCCCAGGTTTGTCAAATACCGTTTAAAAGGGCTGCCTCGTCATTGACAATTTTTTTAGATGCGTCACAACCAGTTGCCTCAATTCTGGGTGTGGTTTCCTGGGGGCTGGGTTCTCTCCAAGCGAAGATGACCTAGGCAGCTCTCGGCCAGGTCTGGGCTACGCCCGGGCCCCGGGAGCGCGTACTGAGACCCATGGTGCCCTAGAGGAGCACCCAAGATGGCACGGGCAGCAGACCGAGAGCCCAAGAAGCACGGCGGTGAGTCAGCGTGGCGGCTCAGTCCTGGCTGGCGTGGGGTCTGGGCCCCAGGCAAACTCATAAGGGGAAATCACGTATGGCTGGCTCAGCCCTGTCTTCTCGGGGGGGCCACGCTGCAGGCCAGCTTCCCCCTCAGCTGGTGCACAGTCGCCCCTGCACCGCTGGGCACACCCCTGCTTCTTGGGCTGTACCTCAGGTATAGCAATGGTTTGCTTCGAGGGCCAGGACTGCAAAATGCATTTCGTTTTGTTGTGAGTGCCCACGAGGGCTGAGGGTGTGACACCAGCAGCCGGGACGGTGACCGGTCCTCTACCTCCCATCCACTCCTGGTACCCCCACATCATTTAACCGAGTTCTCCTGGCCCGTCCCCTGAACTCACATAGGCTGAGCATGCGTTTGCTGTCTGCCTCCACCAGGCAGTCACTGCCTGCAGGGCATCACAGAACTTCAGGGTCCTAGGAACAGTGAGGGCCAGACACCAACTGTCTGGAAGTGGTGGTCAAGGGAGGCTTCACGGAGGAGGCACCAGTTAAGATGGATCTTGAAAAATGATTAGGAGTTTCCGGTCGGGGCAGAGAGATGGGCTCAAGGACAGGTGGACTGGCCAACAGACAGAGACCCGAGGATCAGGGCTTCTTTGGAACCACTCCGGGGAGTCTGGTTTCGCTAAAGTTAGGTTTGGGTGGGTCAAGGTGGCTGGAGAAGGAGGTGGGGCTTAGCAGTGAGCCTTGGAACTTAGCTCCACTCCCTGGGAACGGCCCTAGGGCCTCCAAGTAGGCAGGAGTGCAGTCTAGAATCAGGCTGCTTAGGGTTGATTCCTGGCTCTCCCACCTACTAGCTGGTCTTCTTGGGCAAATTCCTCAGCTTTTCTGTGCCTCACTTTCCTCGCCTGCAAACGGGAATAACAATGAAATTCTTGTAAGGTCTAAAGGAGCTAAATGCCTATAAAGTACTAGGAATGGTGCCAGGAAGTTAATGGATATTAGCTATTATTATTATTGCTGATGATGTTTTTAAGTGTGTTTGCTCGTTTATTCTACGAGCAAGAGCGATACAGAGATGGCACCCCTCAGGGACCTGGTGCCACGATCCACGCACAGCCCACTCCGGGTCATGGGCATGTGTGCCCGGGGTCCTCAGGGCCGTCTCCAGAAGCCCGGGGTCCTCAGAAGCCTCCCACGTGATCAGCCCCTCAGAGCATTGTTTTACCACGCGCCGTGCCACCGCCCAGCCCCCTGGTGTTGACGGTATAAGAAAGCATTGCTAGAACTAGTGGGAGGGCACCACTGGTGAAGCAATCAGTACCAGCTCAGCTCTGGGTCTAAAGCTCAGAGTCCTGGTTGTCTGGGCGGGGACTGGGGTGAGGCAGAGAAGGCACCTGGGGCAAACTGTACTGGGACATGCTCTCAGGGCCCTGTGCTGCCAGCCTGGTTGAATGACGCAAGCCTTACCTGCCTCACCTTGGCCCAGGCCCCCGGCAATGCTATTAAGGCCCTTCTTGTTGACTCATGTGACTCCAACACCCCATGGAGTCACGGAGACTGACCTCATTTTGCAAGTTTGCTAAGCTCAGGAGGCGGCCAGGACCATCTGGTCAACCTTAGCTCTACTGCACTCCTTTCTCCAAGCCCTGCACTCATGGGAGAGGCCAGGGCTGGCCAAGTCACCCTGCAGAAGAGGAACACCCGCTGCCATTCTCATTAAGTGAATGGAGGTGGTGGCTAACGCCAAGGGCTGAGGCCACCACCACCAAAAGCCATTTTAAGAGGGCCCTGTCACACTGTCAGACTTGGAGTCTTACTAATCCAGTGGACCTGAAGTGGTGGAGGGCCAGCTGGCGTAGACACCCTAAGTCCATGTGTCACTAACTCGGCCAGGCCCGTCCACAGACCGTACACTGGGGTATAAATCTTCCCAACAGGAAGGCTAATGACCAGCCTGCCCAGAAATAGTTAAATTCCACGTTCAATGAGAAAGGACCAGAACATGGGCTGCTGTTTCAGGAACTAACTAGTCCTCCTTGGGCACAGAAAGCATTTTGGAACACAGATACCAAGCCTACAGAAATAATAGCCATAAACTCTGAATGAATGCTTAATACCACCAGGCTTAGGGCCAGCAGGTGGCGTGGTGGTTGAGGTACTGGAATTCCCACATGGGTGATCAAGGTTCGAGTCCCAGACCTGGCAGCTTGCTTTCTAACTCTCCCTCTCTCACTCTTTCTCCGTTAAAACTCATGTGAAATTAAAAAATGAACAAAATAATTCTTAAAAAAAAAATACTGCCAGGCTTCAGAAAGTTTGTAGAAAGGGAAAACTAAAGTATGGGTTAAGGGACCGGCTAGTGGCATGGTGGTTAGGGGTGCTGGACTCCCATATGGCCAACCGCAGTTCGAGTCCTGGACCTCGTGGCTTGCTCTCTCAGTTTCCCTCTCTCACTCTGTCCCTCTCTGGTCAAATTTAAATACGTAAATAAAGTTAAATAAAATAATCCTTTGGAAAAAAAAAAGAGTACGAGTTAATTTTGGTGTTAAAAAAAGGAATTCGTGTGAGGTTTTCCCGTAGTGGCTGTGACCATGAAGACGCTTGCACGCACCAGGCAGCACGCTTGTTCCACGTGGGTGCTCACAATTCCACCATCACCCACAGCAGGCTTTCACGAGAGCCCCCGTTTTACAGATGGGGACACTGGGGGAACTTGTGCAGGCATGTAGGCTTAGTCAGAGGCAGGGCTGGGGCTCGAGCCACCGGCATCTGGGGTATGAGAAGTGACTGCTCATAGGGCCGCCCTGCCCAAGGAGTGCTGCCCGCAGCTGGGACTTTCTTCTTCTGTGATTCGCCACAGGGACTGTCTGAGGCCCTGCAGTGCCGGTTAGCACCCCGAAGGGCTGCCCGAGGCCGGTTATCCACCAGGGCCTGCGGAGGGATCAAGTGCACCCTCCCACACGGGGAAGGGCTGGGAGGTCAGGCAGGGAAGGTTCAGACAGCAGGCAAGCGCCCACCAAGGTGACTCAGGGTGACGCAGGGTGACGAAGGCTGACTCAGACACATCCCTCAAGGTCTTGAGCTGTGAGCTGCTGGCGAGGCGGGTGCCATGTACAAAGATGAACGAGGCTGGGTCCTGACGTCCGGGTCATAGCCGGGACCCTCGGGGCTCAAAGGACATCAAGTTCTCAACCCTCCCACTCCCAGGAGACCCCCCCACTCCGGCTCCCTTTAAGAAAGCGATTTTCATAACTCTAGAATTGCCCCTCAGGACGGCGAAACCAAGCCCCAGCAGCAGTTTAAAAGGAATTCGTGAGCACTCCAGTCCGTCCTACCTGGGGGGACAGTTTATCCAAATGGGGCGCATGTACACCCATGCCCTCCCCACTCTGGAGCCCCAAACCCCGCATGCAACCATCATTACTTATTTTCTGAAAGAACAGAACCATTTTCCAAGGCAGCACTCGCTGTCCACCTCCTGCAGAGCTCGGCTCCAGACCGTCTTCTAAAGTGTGATGGGTTTGCGTGGAGCAGTCCAAACCTTCTGCTGGGTTTCCCCTTTTTATTTTTGGAGAGGTTTTTGCTATAGGGCGCGTGCGCTTGCCAGACAGAGAGAGACAGAGAGACAGAAAGCGAGAAATCACCCCCCAGGGAGGATGTCCACACCGCAGTCTCTTCTCCATTCTCCTCTTGAGAACTTGGGCACGCATGCACACGCACCCGGCGTGAGTTTAAGCCACCAGTTTTGGGACTCGAACTGCGGTCGACTACATGGGAGTCCAGAGACATAGCCATTACGCCAACTGCTGGTCCCCTTTCTTTTCTTTTTTAAGTTAACTTTTTTTATTCACAAGAGGGAGAGACAGAAGACAGAGAGAAGAAAGACAAGGGCCCCAGGCTGTGATCTCTCCCCAGCCAGCCCGGTCACGAGTGCACACACCCCGCGTGTGCAGGTTGGCCTGGGGACTGAACACACGCTCTCCCGCATGGGTCCAGCATGGCCTTGGCTGTGTGCTACTGACGCACCCGGAGCTGGCCCAGGGATGGGCCACTCTAAGGCTCTCTGCCAACCCCAGGCACGGACTTTAACATTTCACCACGGATTGAATGGAGCGGCACGGGGTGGAGAAGGGGTCTCAGAGGGGCCGCAGAGGTAAAAGGGTTGCATAATCACAGACTTCGAATGTGCTTTCTTCTTCTGTGATTCGCCACAGGGACTGTCTGAGGCCCTGCAGTGCCGGTTAGCACCCCGAAGGGCTGCCCGAGGCCGGTTATCCACCAGGGCCTGCGGAGGGATCAAGTGCACCCTCCCACACGGGGAAGGGCTGGGAGGTCAGGCAGGGAAGGTTCAGACAGCAGGCAAGCGCCCACCAAGGTGACTCAGGGTGACGCAGGGTGACGAAGGCTGACTCAGACACATCCCTCAAGGTCTTGAGCTGTGAGCTGCTGGCGAGGCGGGTGCCATGTACAAAGATGAACGAGGCTGGGTCCTGACGTCCGGGTCATAGCCGGGACCCTCGGGGCTCAAAGGACATCAAGTTCTCAACCCTCCCACTCCCAGGAGACCCCCCCACTCCGGCTCCCTTTAAGAAAGCGATTTTCATAACTCTAGAATTGCCCCTCAGGACGGCGAAACCAAGCCCCAGCAGCAGTTTAAAAGGAATTCGTGAGCACTCCAGTCCGTCCTACCTGGGGGGACAGTTTATCCAAATGGGGCGCATGTACACCCATGCCCTCCCCACTCTGGAGCCCCAAACCCCGCATGCAACCATCATTACTTATTTTCCGAAAGAACAGAACCATTTTCCAAGGCAGCACTCGCTGTCCACCTCCTGCAGAGCTCGGCTCCAGACCGTCTTCTAAAGTGTGATGGGTTTGCGTGGAGCAGTCCAAACCTTCTGCTGGGTTTCCCCTTTTTATTTTTGGAGAGGTTTTTGCTATAGGGCGCGTGCGCTTGCCAGACAGAGAGAGACAGAGAGACAGAAAGCGAGAAATCACCCCCCAGGGAGGATGTCCACACCGCAGTCTCTTCTCCATTCTCCTCTTGAGAACTTGGGCACGCATGCACACGCACCCGGCGTGAGTTTAAGCCACCAGTTTTGGGACTCGAACTGCGGTCGACTACATGGGAGTCCAGAGACATAGCCATTACGCCAACTGCTGGTCCCCTTTCTTTTCTTTTTTAAGTTAACTTTTTTTATTCACAAGAGGGAGAGACAGAAGACAGAGAGAAGAAAGACAAGGGCCCCAGGCTGTGATCTCTCCCCAGCCAGCCCGGTCACGAGTGCACACACCCCGCGTGTGCAGGTTGGCCTGGGGACTGAACACACGCTCTCCCGCATGGGTCCAGCATGGCCTGAGCTGTGTGCTACTGACGCACCCGGAGCTGGCCCAGGGATGGGCCACTCTAAGGCTCTCTGCCAACCCCAGGCACGGACTTTAACATTTCACCACGGATTGAATGGAGCGGCACGGGGTGGAGAAGGGGTCTCAGAGGGGCCGCAGAGGTAAAAGGGTTGCATAATCACAGACTTCGAATGTGGCAATTGCACACTTGGACAACAAACGGAACCTGGTTTATGACCACTGTAAATAGTCCATGGCAGTGCGCTAAAATGCCTCCAGGCTACTTTAAATCGCATGGACATTTGACGAGACCTTACAAAGATTCGAGTTGTCAGGCCTTGAAGGGTGAGCCATGACCCCCGGGACAGGCACCAGGATCCCAGGGACAGTGGGGAAGGATGCAAGGCGCAAAGAGCCCAGCAGGGACACACACAGGAGGGGGCCGGTGGGTCCCTTCCCCACCTGCTGACTTTAGAAGTTACTGAATTTCCAGGGTCTTTACTGCTCCTGCCTTCGAGTATTCATGGCAGGCGCCCAACTTGTCATCAGAGGTTGAATTGTGGGCCAGCAGGTGGTGTGGTGGGTAAGATGCTGGATCTCACATGGCAGACTGCAGTTCAAGTCCCAGACCCGGTAGCTTGAAAGAAAGACACATCAGGTGCATATGTATGCGTGCCCGAAATCCCAGATGGAGCCTGGAGAAGGGGCTGGGGTATGGCGGTGGCCCCTGGGGAGGGGGACATTTCTCACTTTCCCTCTCTCTCTGTCTCCCATGGCGGCACATGCTCTAGAGCAAACTTAAAAAATAAATAAATAGAGGAGCCAACAGGTGGTGTGATAGTTAAGACGCTGGACTTTCACATAGCCAACCACGGTTTGAGTCCCAGAGCCGGGGGCTTGAAACTCACTTTGGGCATGTGCGCATGTGTGCCCCAAATCCTAGAAGAATGGAGAAGGGATTGCAGCATGGCCATTCCTCCCCGGAGGGTGATCTCTTGCTTTCTCTCTCTCTCTCAGACGAGCACATGTGCCCTATAGTAAAACTCTCTCTCTCTCAATCAATCAATCACTATTCAAGATTTTTAAACTCAGGGAAAGCACAGTCAGCAATCTGAATGTCCTGGAATGACAGAGATGCTGCCTGCTCCCCCACCGTCCGGACTCCACACGCAGGCACGAGTCCCGCCCACGAGTGATTCGGTCTCTGCCCTCGAGCTACCGGGTCCCTCAGAGCTTCTCAGGTCTTGCTGCAACAGATTGCTTTGCACAACCCTGAAGCTGGAGGAGAAAAACCTGTCGGCTTCCGATGACTTGATCCTCCCCGTGACCTGCACCCTGGGGCTGGCATGGCTCACGGAGCTGAGGCCCATGGCCCCAGGAAAGGAGCCGCCTCCGAGGAGGCCAGGCTTCACTTCCAGTGGGGATAGCGTGCAGCCCGAGAGCCCGACACATAGGTGTGTTTACAAAGCCAGCCTCAGAACTGGGAGGTGTGCCTCACTGCTTTGTGGAAAGGAAAATTCATTGTGGTTAAAAAAAATAACGAAATTAAAAAGAAAAGAGAAGAGAGCTACGAATAAGCCTGGCAAGCTTTCTGTTTCTTTTTTATTATGATAAAATATGCATGGTATAGCATGTTCACTTTTTTTTAGTTTTCACTATAGGGTACGTGCACTCACCAGATACACACAGACAGAAAGTGAGGAAGCACTTCCCAGGGGCGGTGGCCACGCCGCAGTCCCTTCTCCTCCATTCCTCTCTCGAGATTTTGGGCACGCACAGGTGCCAGGGTGTTTTCAAGCTGCTGGGTCCAAGACTCCAACCACGGAGTTGGCCCTGTGAGATCCAGAGCCTTAACCTCCACGTCACCTGCTGGTCCCGACATTTGATCCTTTAGCTGCAAACACTACACCTTCCTCTCTATAGTTTAACTCCTTTACGGAAGGCCCCAGCTCAGGGGGTAAGAGCGACTAGGGAGGGTACGCGGACCGCCACTGTGTGGCAGGACGCCACTCCACTGCATGCACCTCGCACGCTGTCAGTGGCCCTCTGACCGTCCATCAAGCCCTCTGTGAAGCCGCTTCCCCTCTGGGCTCGGAACACAGTCGGGCATGAGCAAAACTGCACAGACTCGGCTTCATACGTCTAGTAACCCCTCACCCCGTCGTGGGGAAGGGGAACAGTGCTTTAAACAGAAATGGTATCGATAACTAGGACGACACGAGCAATGACAAAGGGCTGACACAGGGGGGCGTTTTCCAGCCAGGGCTTGAACAGGCCGCTAGCCCCTCGCACCCACAGCCCCGACCTTCTGGCTCTCTGGGGGCTACAGACTGGGCATGGGGTTCCGCTGGAGACGGGCCCGCAGAGAGGCTCTGCAGAGACCGCGTTCTTGGGCAGTGAGGGCTATGAGAGAGAACTTCTGTACCTGTCTGGACAAAAGCCGTGAGCTGGTTAAACCTGAAATAAATTAGGTTTAAGATGGGCTTTTCCAGGTTAAATCAGCTTATTTCTACCTGGTTATTCATCGGCTCTAAAAGGATAATGCTAATCCGGGCTGGGGGTGCTTCGTGACCAAACCCCTCACCTGGTCTCTTCTGCCAGTAGCTCTGAGGCCGCTCATTACACAGGTGGGCAGTGGGAGGCGCGTCCCATCCAGACAGAGCCCTGTCCTGGGCCCTGGCCACTCGGCCCGGTGAGGGCGAAACCAGCCCAGGCCTCCTGGGCCCAGCTGCCCTCCCTCTCTGAACCGGGTTCTCACGGGTAACGTTTGACTGACCACGTCTACTGGGCAGGCCTTTCGCAGGTACTGGGAAGACAGCATGCATGCAAAAGCCTGACAAGTGACACACACTGTCAGTACATCCCCGTCGAGGGCGAAGCCCTGAGCTACTGCACTGGGAGGCAGAAAGACTCCCCGTGACTCGCCCTGTGGGCTCCCCTGGAGTGTGGGAGGGACTCTGAGGGGGTATCACCACCTGGCTAGGGGGTGCTGTCTGCACAGGTGGGTTTAAGTAAGGGCGCTCATCTTGGGTGGGCCTGGCCTAATTAGTTGGACCCTTGAAAGAAATGAGGCTTGGGACCGGCAGATGCAGTCAGGGTTATGCTGCTGGACTCCCGCGTAGTCAGCTGCGGTTTGAGTCTCGGACCCGGTGGCTTAAACTCACGCCGGGCACACATGTGAGCATGCCCAAAATCCTGAGAGGAGAGTGGAGGAGAAGGGATTGTGGCGTGGCCATCCCCGGCAGATGACTTCTCACTTTGCCCTAGAGCAAGAATCTCTGTCTAAAACAAAGGAGAGAAAGGAAGCGAGGCTTTCCCCGGAGAGAGCTGTGAAAGGGATTCCACGCCAAGGAGCCTCTCAGCTGGGTTCAGGACGGAGTCGTGTGGCGAGGACCACGAGCTCCTGAGAGGGTGAGCCTGGGGGGCAGTGAGCCTGGGGGGCAGTGAGCCTGGCCAGCCATGTGGGGTGAGCCTGGGGGGCAGTGAGCGTGGGGGGCGGCGCG